TAATTTAATTTAATTTAATTTAATTTAATTTAATTTAAAAAATTTTTTTATTTTTTTTAATCTTCTATTCCAACATGATTTTTCTATGCTAATTTTTTTCTGTGCTGCCATCGTTGTGCCACAGATGCTGTTGGTGGAGTTTGCGTTTGTATGGACAGGATGATTCTTTACAGACAGGATCTGCAGGATGATCTGAGCTGCTTGCACACCGTCTGCTTCCTCTCCTCTGCTTCTATTGTTCACGTTTGTCCCCTTGAGTGCCGATTATTGCTCTTTGTCTGAGCTCCTTTACCTTCCTCCTGCAAGTGTTCTCTTTGTGCTGCCAGCTCCATCTTTACCCCTATTATGAGCAGCACCGTCGGCACAAAAGAACCGCTCGGCCTTCCTAATATGGAAGCGATTGAAGACGCGGAACGGATTCAGTCACAGCAGTTTTTGTTGGAAGTTTGGCCTGTTTGTCGCCTGCTCGAGGACGGAGGTTACTTACGAGGAATGTTGATGCTGATTAATGAGGACAAATGAAGCCGTCTAGACAGTGTGACGAGAATCAGCTGATAAATGAGAACGTAAAGTATGTCTGTGGGTTTGTGAAAAGCAAAACATCTCCAAATGCACAAACCCTGATGCACTTTGACTGGAGGTTTGTTGACACAGTCATATTTCAGATTGTGTTCGCGTCACAATGATGGGAAAGTGGCTGAGATAGACACGCTTTGCGTATTTAATTCATCACACTTTTGTTTATGCGTTTATGTCTATTTAGCCTTTTAATGTATATTTATTTAGCATTTTTAATCAAATATTTCTGTTAAAGCAACTTTTTTATCAATCTGATATAATTCTCTTTGAAGTCTCTTCTGCTTACCAAGGCTGCGTTTATTTGTTTAAAAATACAATAAAAATAGTGAAATATTACTAGAATTTGAATATCTGTTTTCTATGTGAATATCTGTTAAACTGTAATTTATTGCTGTGATGCACAGCTGTATTTTCAGCATCATTACTCCAGTCTTCAGTGTCGCATGATCTTCAGAAATCATTCTAATATGCTGATTTGCAGCTCAAGAAACATTTCTGATTATTATCAGTTGAAAACTGTGGAAACGTCATACATTTTATTTTTCAGGATTCACAGATGAATAGAAAGTTCAAAAGAACAGCATTTATTTGAAATAGAAATCTTTTATAACATTATAAATGTCTTTGCTGTCACTTCTGATCAATTTAATGCATCCTTGATGAATAAATTTTTTTTTACATGTGCATTTTTCATGTGTTCATTTGGCAGATGCTTTTATCCAATATTTCTAATTTAATCCAATAATTTACATCTTAAATCCGGCTAAAAATGGTCTGTTTTTGAGGTTAGTGCAACTAATTACACATGCATGTTTGTTTACATTTATTTATTTAGCTGACACTATTTTCAGTTTCTCAATTATAAGTTGCTTTGGATGAAAGAGTCTTTTCTAGTGTGTTCTAAAGTAAAGACGTGATGCATTTTGCCAATAAGAAGACTTTTTAAAAAAATCTGTTTTAATGGAAATGTGCCTTGTGGAGTGATTTCTCCCATTAGTTTTTCCTCAAGTCTGATATAAACTAGATCCTAAACGTGGCTCTGATCCTTCACTGTCATAAGAGAGCTAAACACTCCGCAGAGCCTCCAAACCACCCAAAGATTGATCTGGAAATCTCATTTGTCACCTCAGACCCTACAGCAAGTGTTTTCTCTCCGTGATTGTGGCTCATCAGAGTCTGAACTCGTTGTTTTACGGTGTGAAGACAGTTTGTGTGGTTATTCCTGCGCGGCCTTCAGCTCTTGGCAGCGGTGGACAGGGGATGCTGGGATTGAATGCCATAGTTTGCTCTCTGCTTTATTTATGGCCGTGTAATGTAGCATACAGTGGAAGGTGCAGTTTGTTTGAATGGCAGCCAAAATAGTAATTATTCAAACTATATTACACACACACACACACACACACACACACACAGAGACAGATATAAGCTTCTCTCAGTCAAACGTGGGACATTATTTCCATATTGACTTTTATTCATTCAGCAGATCATTGTTGTACAATCATGAGGTCTTATGTTAAACGTCTGTTTTGTCTTTGCAGATCTTCCAGTATCACTAAAACGGAGACTTTGAAGGTACGTAAACTTCAGACTATGTAGTTATATGTAATGCGTGTCCTAACCAGGCGCAACCTGACATTTATAGTATCAGATAATGTGGCAGTAAAATGTGATTTAAAAATAAATAATGTACAATACAATAGTTTAAGTGTGCAATAAAGTGCTTATAATTACCAAAAGGTAACTCATGATTAAGCCCTTTTTTATGTTGTTTTTATTTTATTTTATGTTTATTTTTTATGTTGTCATTTTTAAGAAATTTTATTTAAATTTGTATTTTTCATTTTATGTTGTCATTTTATTTTATTTAGTTTTTAATTTAATTATTTAATTATTTATTTTTATTTTTTTTCTTTTATTCAATTTTCTTTTCTTTTATTATTTTCCCTTTAGGGCAGGGTTGGATTTAGTCTGTAGTCTTTATAATTAGCTTCATATGAAAACAAATGATCTATTATATTGCAATTATATTGCATGTTTGTATATATATATTGCAAAGTGTGTGTGCGTGTTACATTTTTACCAAAAAAATTATCTCACTATAAATGCCTTTTTAATGGTGTACAGGCATTATGTAGCTGATGACAACAAAAAAGTAGTTCTCCATTTTAGATGTCAAAATATAAACTGACATATGCACATTAAATAGGCTGACAGAATATGATTGGGTTTGCTTAAATCATTTATGGCCTTTTCCTAATAAAAAGGTGTTTACATGACATTAAGTGTCAAACAAAAAGCGAAATGCTGTTTGAAATTACATAATCACAGCCATTAAGAGCATATTTTAATATACAGTGATGTTTGAACAGATTAGATTTCACTGTGGGCGGGGCCTCGCTGTGCATTGTGACAGAATATAAATGAGGCAACCAATCAAATGTCTCGCCACACATCACTTTTGTGGCTTTGCATCACGTCTGGTGAGGACACGCATGCTGATTGAGATGCCTGATCTGCTGCATGACACTGAAGATCTGTGAGGGATTCTGCTCTCCCTCATTACAGGCCGTTAGTAGGAGAATATTTCAATTATACCATCTCATTTATTATAGTTAACTAAAGCAAAAACCATAAAAATATTTACTGAAATAAGATAAAATATTAAAAAACCTTATTTCATTTCAGCTAGTTGGCAAGGCATTTTCATTTATTTTAACTTGATGTACTAAAATAACTAAAACTAAAACTGAAATAAAAATGAAAAACTAGAGACAAAATAAAAATTTAACTATAGACAAAAACAAAAAAAAGACGAAAGGACAAAATGACACAACTTTAATATAAAAATTTAAACGGAAACTAATTCAAAGCATTTAATAAAAACTATAATACAATATAAAATAAACTTGAATTGAATCGAATCGAAAATAACATTGATTCACAGATTATGAATAAAATCAGTATAGATATATTTAAAAGAAGAAACTAATTAATGTGACAAAACACAACAAAATTACTATTATTATAGTTAACTAAAGCAAAAACCATAAAAATATTTACTGAAATAAGATAAAATATTAAAAAACCTTATTTCATTTCAGCTAGTTGGCAAGGCATTTTCATTTATTTTAACTTGATGTACTAAAATAACTCAAACTAAAACTGAAATAAAAATGAAAAACTATAGACAAAATAAAAATTAAACTATAGACAAAAACAAAAAAAAGACGAAAGGACAAAATGACAACTTTAATATAAAAATTTAAACGGAAACTAATTCAAAGCATTTAATAAAAACTATAATACAATATAAAATAAACTTGAATTGAATCGAATTGAAAATAACATTGATTCACAGATTATGAATAAAATCAGTATAGATATATTTAAAAGAAGAAACTAATTAATGTGACAAAACACAACAAAATTACTAAAATTTTAACTAAAATTTAAATAAAAACTAAAAAATACAATAGAAATAAAAACGTAATAAAAAATATGAAAACTATAATAGTATCTCAATGATACTAAAATATCTCTGATCCTCAGATATTTGTAATTTAAAAAATGTACAGGGGAAATATCAGAGAACCCCCCCCCCCTTAAGGTCTGGAAATTATTTCTATAAATTTAATTGAAATAATAATAACTTCATTCATAATTCATTAGCAAATCTGTGAATTAGGGGTGTCCCCGACTAAGGATTTTCATAGTCGAATCTGAATTTTTTAATCTTGCCGATAGTCGACTGATAGTCGAATCATATGTTTTGGGGGCGGGGGGGCAAAATACATTACCGAGAGTCAAGTCAGACATTCGACAGTCATAATTAAGTTATTTATACAACATAATGTTAACATTACGACTTTTAGGCTATCTGCACAAAATGCTCCGAATGCACATGAACGTGTCTGCGCGGCTCTGAATGAACTCCTTTTGTGGACACGTTCT